CTATCTTTCATCTAGGAAGTGTTCTCGGTCCCATGCTTAGCCTTAAGGAAAGTTTATGGCCAAATTATGAACATTAACAAGGGTTTATGGTCGTACAAGGGTTTACGGTCGTACACTCTTGATGTTCTTGCATTAGATGATGATTCAAGGCTCAGAATCAAGTGTTTCTCAAGCTTAACTACCAGATAGAAAAGATACTCACAATTTTGAGGGCTCCTATGGAGTTCACGGTCCAATAACAAGTAGGTAAAGAAATCAAAGGGTAAAAAGATGAATTTCATGGATGAAATCAAAGGGTGATACTAGATAAAGAAATGTATCAACTAAGCAATGGAAGAAACACTTACATTTTTGAAGATCAATATGAAATGCTTGATGATAGTTGAGAGAGAATCGAATTTCTAGAGTTGGGAGTGTGAGAAATGGCTAAAAAGGATGGAATATCTTATATATTTGAGGTGGTGTACGACCACCTTGAGTGTATGGCCGTACACTTATGTTTACGGTCGTACACACCACTTGATGGAGTTCTTGTCTCAAATATAACACGATGAACTTAAGTTAACCCATCCCTAAACCCAAACCTTGAATGCACTAGGCTTAGAACACTCAAAAAGACCCAAACCAGTGTTACAAGATAGCAGGAGCGAGTCTGACTTCGATTGAATTGAATAGTTGTTCAAGATAGAAATTTTGGGTTGTCATAGTAAGACTAGGGAAAGAGATATGGATACTTCTGTTTCATCTAATCCTCCTGCTCCCAAGTGAATTCAGGTCTCGTTTTGTATTCCAGAGAACCTTCACTATTAGCATACGAATTTGTTTAGTCCTCTTGACTTCCCTATCTAGGATTTCTACGGGTTCTTCCACAAAGTTGAGGCTCCCGTTTATCTCAATCTCATCGAGTTGGATAATAAGAGTCTTGTTGGATAAGCATTGTTTTCAAATTAGAGACATGGAAGGTAGGGTGTATGTTACTGAGTTCTTGAGGTAGTCGGAGTTTGTAAGCTACTGGACCAATTCTAGCAAGAATCTCGAACGGTCCAATTTACCTTGGATTTAGTTTTCCACGTTTTCCAAAGCATATCATGCCCCTCCAGGGTGAGACCTTCAACATGTCGTGGTCACCAACTTAGAATTCCAAGGGTTTTCTCCTTTTGTCAGTGTAGGTTTTCTGTCTGTCTCTGGAAGCTTTAAGCCGCTCCCTGATTTGTATTATCTTCTTCGTAGTTTCTCTAATGATTTCTGGACCAGTGAGAGTGTTGTTTGGAACTTAACCTCTAGCTAGTTGTGTGTAACCCACTTCAACCCAGCACAGAGGTGATCTGCACTTGAGACCGTAGAGAACTTCTAATGGAGCAACTTTTATGCTAGTATGTTAACTATTATTGTACGAGAACTCGACTAGTGGAATGTGGGTATCCCAAGCTTTACCAAATTCAATCACACATGTTCGCGGCATGTCTTCCAACATTTGAATTGTTCTCTCACTCTGTCTGTCTGTTTGTGGATTGTAGGTTGTACTCATGTCTAGCGTAGTTCCCATAGATTTTCGTAAAGATTGCCAAAAACGTGAGGTGAATCTACTATCTTAGTTAGAGATAATAGATATTGGTACACCGTGCAGTCTAACTATCTCCCTAATGTATGTTCTTGTTAGCTTCTCCATTTTGTCAGTTTCCTTTATTGGAAAGAAGTGTGTAAATTTGGTTAATCTATCGATGATTACCCAAATGGTATCATGACCACCCGTTGTCTTGGGTAACTTAGTTCTGAAATTCATTGTAATCCGCTCCCACTTTCATTCAGGGATTTCAGGTTGTGGTAGTAAACCCAAAGGCTTTTGGTATTCTACCTTAAGTTTGGCACAAGTAAGACACTTGCCCATGTAGGTAGCAATCTCGGCTTTCATGTTGGGCCAAAATAAAGTTTCTTAAGGTCCAGATACATCTTGTCTGAACTTGGATGATTGGTGTATCAAGTTTTGTGTGCTTCATTCATAACCATGTCTCTATAACCACCGAACTTTGGAGTCCAAATCTGGTTCATGAAATAAAAGACTCCATCATCGTGGATTTCAAGGTTCTTGTCCATTCCTCTCAAGGTTTCACTTGCCACATTTTCGGGTCTGAAGGCCTTGATTTAATCCTCTTTGATTTGTGTGGACTGGTGTGAATGGATCGTCATGGTCAACGACTTTACTCGAAGTCCCGAGTAGTCTTTTCTGCTAAGGGCATCAACTACTACATTCGCTTTACTGGGGTGATAACGAATTTCACATTTGTAATCATTTAGTAGCTCTACCCAACGTCGACGTCTCATGTTCAACTCTTTCTGGTCGAAGATATGCTGAAGACTTTTATGGTTCGTGAATATTGTACATTTTGTGTCATAGAGGTAAAGTCTCCAAATCTTCAGAGCAAATATGACTGCTCCAAGTTCAATATCATGAGTGGTATAGTTAAACTTATGTGTCTTAAGTTGTCTCGATGCATAGGATATAACATTTCCTCGTTGCATAAGAACACAACCTAGCCCTTGGATAGACGCATTGCAGTACACTACGAAGTCTTCTGTCCCTTTTGGAAGCGACAAGATAGGTGCACTGCACAGGGCTCGCTTTAGCGTTCGGAAAGTTGTTTCTTATTTCTGTCCCCAGCTAAAATTCACACCCTTTTGTGTCAGGGTGGTATGTGGTTTAGCAACTCGGGAGAAATTCTGGATGAATCTGCGATAGTTGCCAGCAAGACCTAAGAATTGTCGGATTTATGTAGGTGTTTTGGGTGCTGATCACTTCTTGGTTGCCTTTATTTTGGAAGGGTCCACATGTATTCCCTCTTGACTGACCACGTAACCCAGGAAATCTACTTTCGTGATCTAAAATTTGCACTTTGAGAACTTCGCATAAAGTTTCTTTGTTCTCAGTGTTTTCAAGACTTGACGGAGATGTTGGCTATGCTCCTCCTTGCTTCTTGAGTAGATAAGGATGTCATCAATGAAGACTATTATGAATTTTTCCAGGTAGGGACGACACACTCTATTCATCAAGTCCTTGAACACAGAAGGTGCATTCGTCAATCCGAAAGGCGTTACTGCAACTCGTAGTGACCATAAAAAGTTCTGAAAGCTGTTTTGGGAACATCGTCTTCCAAAATTCATAATTGGTGATACCCGGATGTTAAGTCTATCTTCGAAAAGTATTTCTCACTTTGAAGTTCGTCGAAAAGATCGTCAATGTGAGGTAGAGGGTATCGGTTCTTTATGGTTAGTTTATTCAGCTCGCGGTGGCCTATGTACATGCGGAAACATCCATTCTTCTTCTTCACGAACAAGACCGTGGTCCCCGAGGTGAGAAGCTTGGTCTTATGAAACCTTTGTTAAGAAGTTCTTTAAACTGATTGGATAGTTCGTGCATTTTTTATGGTGCAAGACGATAAGAGGATTTGGCTACAGGGGTAGCTCAAGGGATTAAGTCGATTCTGAATTTGACTTGTCATTCCGGTGGCACTCCTGGGGGATCATCGGGAAATATATGAGGAAAGTTACAGACCTCAGGAATGCTCGCGATGTTTTTCACCTCTTTTTTTTTTTTTCTAACACATGAGCTAGAAAAAGCACAGTACTCCTTGCGAAGATACTTTTGTTCCTTGATGCAAGAAATGATCCATAGGTTTGCACCGAGTTTGTCACCGTATAAGATAAGGGTTTCGCTATTTGGCAAGTTACGACGAATGGCTCTTTCGTAACATAGGATTTCGGCATGGTTAGAACATAACCAATCCATAGCAATAATGACGTCGAAACTTTTTATAGAGACCGACATAAGGTCTATTGGGAAAGAAAAGTTATTTAGGGTAAGGGTACATCATATGTATATATCGTTAGTGTTCTCAGTTTTGCCGTTGGCCATTTCTACGATAAAGGTATCTTTTAGTGGTTGGGAAATTTGTTTAAGTAGGTGATCGAATTTATGGCTCACGAAGCTTTTCTCAGCACTACTATCAAATAGGATGCATGCATAAGTATTGTTGAGATGAAATGTACCCGTGACCACTGTAGGGTCTGCCATAGCCTCTTCGTGACCAATTGCCAGTATTCTTCTTACTCCAACGACATTCCTAGCTTATGGACAATCCCTTTTGTAATTTCCAACTTCACCACATAGCATGCCTGACCTACTCCAATGCCAGGTACTTGATTGATCGGTTGAGGTGGTGATTTACAGAATCGAGCAGTGTGCCCTTTTCTGTTGTAGTTCCTACACTGTCAGACATGGCAATTTCCATGGTGGTGGAAATTACACTTGTTACATTTTGGGAGGTTACCAGCATACTGGTTTGCTGGTGTAGGGTTAGTAGGAACACTAGCAGGTACAGTAGCAACATGGACTGCCACCATTTGTTGCATCTTTTAGGGCTCCTAAGAAAATTGGCCCTTCCTTTTGTTCCATGTCTTCTTCTTGCCGTTGTTGTTGTTGTTATTTACTTTAGGTTGTTCTGGAGCATCTTTTAGGGCTCCTAATCAGCTCCCATATATAATGAATGCAAGGACAATTTATGACCAATCAAAATTAATTCAATTTCCCTTAAATAATAATCTATTTTCCGTCCATTTAAAATATATTTCAAGGTTACTATATTGGCAACTCATACTATGCATTCACAGTCCAACCTTAATAATCTCCTATTATTATGAGTGATTATGTTTCCTTATATCACGATATTAAATCCATTACACAATTATCAGAATAAAATTTTTGTTATACCCGAGATTGTGTTAATAGGATACGATAAAATAAAGGATTAAATATGACTAACGATAAATCTTTTGGTATCGATCATTGACTAGTACTGGGTTCATTAAAACTCTTGAACGGTGTTGATGATGATTCAGCAGTAGTTGGCATCGTTAATACCTGCTTGTCCTTGCCCATCACGTGGTCTATATTAGCTTGAACCGTAGATGGAAAGTGTGATGTCCTTATGGATTCTAATTCGTGTTCAACTTCCATCATTGTAAACTGTACCTTGGCCTCCCACACCAAGAATTCTCTTCTCACTGAAGCAGTCAGTGGCTTTCTCTAATTCACGTAAAGAGAAAAGCATAGTTTTGCCAATTGAGGATGGGTCGGATTTTTCTTGTTGTTCTAGTAGTCGGCCCCCATTCCGTTTAAAATATCTCATTCTACGTCTCCTGGCTATTGCTTCGTTGATCACCTTGTACGAGGCATAGCTGATCGCCAGAAGAAAAGCTACACCGATGCTTATGCTAGGACCTGAATGAAAGGCACCACGACATGACTCACATTTAATAACATTTCTTGGTTGCATAAGGAAATAACTACTACATATACTCGTTTATTGGTCTACGTGATTAAAAAGTCTTCAACTACCATAAGAAAGTAATGATGTGATCCCTTAAAGCTTATATAGAATGGAATCAGAGAATAAAAAAATCCATCTAGGGTATCGATCATTCTAATCTCTTAATTAATTATTTTGATAAAATTACAATATTTCATAATTCCGGAAAATAAAGGCTAACTTTTTACATTTGGAAATGGAAAATCTCTACATAAAAAAGAGTTGGAGATCGTTTTTCTTTAAATCGGGCAACTTTTAACATGAATAAATAGTGTAAATGCATTAAAAATGTAAAATATATACTTTGGTTTAGAGCTCATTTTGCCGATGCTATTTTGAAAAGAAAAAAATACTACGTATAAGAGATTATCATATTTGGAAAATCACATGGACCATTTTTAAAGTTTGTTTGGAAAAAGAAAATTAATTTATTTGGAAAGTCACACGGACCATTTTTGAAGTTTGTTTGGAAAAAAGAAAATTAATTCACTAAAGGAAGGGAGGAAGGATCCAACTTGAGACCTCAACGGCTCAACCCTCTAATATGATAGGGACCATTTTTTAAGTTTGTTTGGAAAAAGAAAATTAATTCACTAACACCCCGTTCCCGAGTTCAATTTAAAGAGAGAAAATAAAGGAAATTGGTGGAAGTGGGAGGAAAGTAAGAGAAATTGGTGTTCCCGAGTTTCATTAAAGGATGGAAGTGGAAGGAAATAGAGGGATCACTTTCCCTCCTAACTTTCCTTCCGATTTGGAAGGATTTGGAGAGAAAGAACAAAATGTTTAACTTTCCTTCCATTTCTCTTCAACTCGGAAACACAAAACACAAATTTCTTTTCCTTTCTCTTCTCTTCTTTTCTCTCCTTACTTTCTTTTCTCTTCTCTTCTTTTCTCTGCTACAACTCGGGAACGGGGTGTAAAGGAAGAGGGGAAGGCTCAAACTTGAGACCTCAACAGCTCAACCCTCTAGAAGTTTGGAAAAAGAAAATTAATTCACTAAAGGAAGGGTCCCTCTAGAAGTTTGTTTGGAAAAAGAAAATTAATTCGCTAAAGGAAGGGGAGAGAAGGCTCAAACTTGAGACCTCAACGGCTCAACCCCCTAATATGACAAGGGATCTTAACCATTTGAGCTGGAACCTCACTTGGTTATAACTTTCTAAAACTAACTTATATAATAACAAAAACGTTAATACATAAATAATAAATAAATTATTAAAAACAATTTCTTACATAATTTTTTTTAAATAAAACAAAATTTATTTTAGTCTACTATAAAAAAATAGTTTTTTACAAACAATTTGTATGTATTTTTAGTATTTATTTAACGTAAAATATATTTTTCATATCTTTAAAAAATATGTTTTCGTATAAAAAATATGTTTTTGTAAAATATATTTTTTATGTCTTTGAAATAATAATAATTAACACTAATTATGACATAACAAATATATAAATTATTTTGGATCGCTAGTTCTAAAACCGTTTTTTCGGTTATATGTATTAAAAACAACTTAACAACGATTTGTTATGTATCTAAATAATTTATACGGTTTTTTTTTATGTCAAGTATACTATTAACTATTGTTATTTCAAAAAGCTATATATAACTATTTCTTTTCATCTTCATTTTAACCATATGATTTAGAATTTACGATTAAGATTAAATACGTATTTTAAATAAGATATATATCCGAATAAGTTTTTTTAAATACATATAACCGAAAAACGGTTTTCAGAAAACCGATTGGTCCAGTCAGTTTTCTGAAAACCGTTTTTCAGTTATATTTATTTAAAAAAGATGAAATACGTATTTTAAATAAGACAAAATATGTATTTTAAATAAGATGAAATACGTATTTTAGAACGAGCGATCCAAAAGAATTTATATATATTTTTTATGTCGTGTGTAGTGTTAATTATTATTATTTTAAAGACATAAAAAAATATTATACGAAAACATATTTTTTATACGAAAAAGTATTTTTTAAAGATAAAAAAAAATATTTTATGTTAAATAAATACATAAAAAATACATACAAATTGTTTGTAAAAAACTATTATTTTTATAATACGACTAAAATAAATTTTGCTTTATTTAAAAAAAAAATATATGTAAAAAAATGTTTTTAATAATTTATTTATTATTTATGTATTAACGTTTTCGTTATTATATAAGTTAGTTTTAGAAAATTATAACCAAGTGATCTTCCAGCTCAAATGGTTACGGCCCTTTGTGATATTAAGGGCGTGAAATTTTCTTTTTCCAAACAAACTTCAAAAATGGTCACTGTAATCCCTAACGGTTATAAAAAGGGTCAGTTTTGCAAACCACAAGGAACATTTGCATCAAAAAAAAATTAGCAGGGACTAACTTTGTGACTTCTGGTAAACCATAGGAACTATTTTTGTAATTTTGTCTTGGAAAAATGTCAGTATTAGAGATCTTAAACCAATGTAATGGTTGAGAAATTGGTATCTAGCTCATAGTTGGAAAAAATATCCGTTTTATAGATTTTTTAAAGTATATGAACAGTGGATATAGTAATACCAAAACCAATTTCAACAGTTCCTCCGGAATATAATTTGTATATCTATGAGAAAAAGTATTACCTAGAATAGCACCCATAGATAAACGACGAGGTCTAGAAAGTGTGGGATGAACATTGGGAAAACAAGAGAACACATATTCGCTAATCCTGTCATAATCATTATATAATCACGGTATTCACACAAACCTCCAGTATGTATACACTCTAAACATTCTTCTGTCGCCTTTGGAGCCACTGCCATATAAGACAAAGTTCGTTGTTAAAAAATGTGCACATGTACACAAGTATGCCTGCTAGAAAAAGGAAAAATGACTTAAAAACCCAATGAAGTTTCCAAGCCATTCAAAAAACCTCAATTATGTTTTTTTTGTTCAAAAAAACCGAACGAACTTAACCTTTTGTCTAAAAAGTCCAACAAAGTTCCAAACTGTTCAGAAAACCCCAATTTTGTTTTGTTTAAGTTAGTTGGATTTTTTTAACAGTCAAAACATGATTGGAGTTTTTTAAACGTTTTGGAAACTTGGTCTAACAAGTCATTTTCCTGATACGGTAATAAGTCACATCATCTGTTTCTCTTATTTGACTTTCAGGAAAGTGTAACTTAGTTAGACTTTTTAGATAAAATGTTAAGTTCGTTGAGTTTTTTTGAACAGACAAAACATGATTGAGGTTTTTTGAACGTTTTGAAAACTTCATTGGGCTCATAAGTCATTTTCCCGCTAGCAAAACAAAAAATTTAATTCAAATACGAAAATTACATACCATCGCATCCATCAGATAGATACGGATTTCCTTGAGAAACGTACATAGGAAACATGCATTTCCATGAGGTGGTTGAAGTACCATTACCCGTATCAACTTTAATTTTAATCCCTGAATTACAACACTTTAAAAATTTGACTGGACTCACGCTCTGACAGAATCCACATTAGTGATATGGGGATGTAAGTGCTGTCCCCAGACAACCTTACCTCATCATAGGAATCGTTATCCACCAAGAAGGCAGACCCACAAGCTCCATCCCCACCCTGCCTTTCCAAGCGGATGAGATCCATGCTGTAATCTTAAGATAATATGGAAGTCTTGTTTGGCAACAAGTGATGCCAAGACACGTGTCTTTCTCGCCAACAGTACCCTCGTTGCTACAAGTTGTTGAACAACCGGCGACTGTAATACCATGGTCGATGATGACCGCATTAATTACCACAACCTTCCACAACAAATTGGTTGTGTAATCTTGAAAACAGAAATGGGCTTTCACCAAGTTCAATGCCCAAGATTTGACTGCTAGTACGGATACGATTGTGGCAGTCGGAAATCATTGAGACATTAACTGTTACGGTTTGGTATTCTAAGTTTACTTCTAATACCTGCACGTTGTTGAGTGCAGGTAGATATGGGGTCGACCGGTTGCAATCAACATTGTACCATTCAGACACAGAACAATTTACCCCAATCCCAAAAGGGTAGGGGATTATCACATCACCGCACATAACTTGGCAACCCGGCTTGGTATATTTTGGATCACTTGCTGATGTTGTTTTTAATAACAGGAAGATGAGTTAGTGGTAAGCTTGGAATAGCTTCATTCTCCTGAGATTAAATGGATGCTTTTAATTTGAACGACTGAGAAACGACGATTAATACAAAAACTGTGAGGAGGTATCTATGAATAAATGGTGGCATGCATGGAGCTATCTATATATAATGCATGGTAAATTACATAAATGAATGGTCCATGTGCGTGGTTGTTTGGCATGATTAGTCCTAATTGTAATTCAATTTCTTTTGCATAGTTGGTCCAATTAATTGACTCCATAAAAACACACGTCTACGACCTATAAAAAACAATTTTAATTTTTAATTTTTGTTTTTTGGGTATATAAGAATGTTCATGAGACGAGTATTAGTGATTTTAGTTTCATTACTGCTATAAAACTAAATCTCAAAATCGGTTCCATCCCGTCTGCCGGTACCTGGTATATTAATTTCACGTATATTAGTGTTGGGTAACCGGAACTGGAAACGCCTTGGAACCGACGATTCCCGAATCCGAACCACTTTAAGTGGTTTCGGTTCCAATTCTTATTTTTATAGAACCGCTACTCTTTTGCTCGAGCGTACCTGTAGCTTCAAGGTGTGTATAATCATAAATGATTATATGGCAGAGAGGTATAATCATATATGCTTATATATGCTTATACGTATATGCCTAATCATAAATAATTATACATATATGTCTGTACATAGATTAAGTAATCATATTTGATTATGACAATCTATGACAAAAGAGGTGGTGGTAACAGAGGTAACAATATTTTATTTGTTATCTTTAATAACACCATTTAAAATTGTAGATTTTTAGTAATTTTTTGAACCTTTAAGGGTTTTAAGAAACATGCACATATTTTTTCGTCATGTTATTGAAGCTAATGATATTTTATAATCCTGATTTTTAATACGTAGCGAATTATATATTGATGTTTTCGATAACTTCTTGTAAGTGTATAATAGATATAATTTTATAAGTTTTTAAAAATTTAACAAATTTAATGAACCGGCTATCCGATATTGGAACAGCTAGCCGTCGGTTCCTGATGCCAACATTTTAGGAATTGGCGGTTCCGGTTCCTGATAATTAAGGAGGGTATCCACCTTTACTCATCCCTAATGGTAACGATGTCCATGAGACAATTGACTTGAACACAAAAATGCGATCATCAAGGCCCAAAAGGACAAAATCGATCTAAGTGAAACTCATTTGTTAATTTTTTACTATGTTCAATATCTTGACTAACAGCTAGCATCTTGAGTGATATCCAAGATACTATTATCATATATCTTGATGTTATCTCACATATTTCTTATGTATGAAGAGGAATGTCGCGTGGTTTGTTGAGAGGTGCTTAACCTGTCGTAGGGTTAAGGTCGAGCATCAAAGACCACATGGCAAGCTGCAGCCGTCGGAGGGAGTTGGGACATGTATTTACCCTTGGCAGAGTTTCCCTATAACAACAACCATCATTCGAGCATCGGTATGCCTCCCTTTGAGCTGTTGTATGGGAGGAGGTGTCGGAGTCCCATTTGTTGGGGAGAGGTAGGGCAACGTTTGATGGGTAGTACAAAGATAGTGCTTCAGACGACAGAGCAGATACAACAGGTTAGACAGAGGTTGTTGACTGCTTAGAGTCGCCAGAAGAGTTATGCGGATAGGCGTCGGTCCGAGCTTGAGTTTCAGGTCGGAGATTTTGTGCTCCTAAAGGTATCTCCTTGGAGGGGAGTGATCCGGTTCAGGAAGAGAGGCAAGCTAGGGCCCCAGTATATTGTTCCGTTTGGAGTGATCGCGAGAGTAGGCAGGGTAGCATATCGTTTGGAGCTACCTGCAGAGTTGAGCCAGATTCACGACACCTTCCATGTGTCCGAGCTGAGAAAGTGTGTAGCCGACGAGTCGGAAGTGGTGCCATTGGAGGATATTCAGGTGGATGCGAGCCTGAATTATGCTGAAAGGCCAATCGCGATTGTGGATCGAAGGATCAAGGTTCTGAGGAACAAGGAGGTGCCCCTGGTTCAGGTTCAGTGGCAACTTCGGAGGGGGTCCGAGCTAACTTGGGAGACAGATTCAGAAATGCAGGAGCAACATCCAGAGTTGTTTTCAGTATGAGACTTCGAGGGCGAAGTCTGGTTCTAGTGGGGGAGAATTGTAACATCCCAAGATTCAGGTACAACTATTCAATCCTCCTTCTTTTATCTTGTGTTAAGTTTAGCCCTTTAGAGGAAAAATGTGGCAAATGAGTACGCTGGGCGTACTCGGAAGTACGTCTTAGTTATAGCATAGCATTCGTGCCAAACACTCCTTCAAGAGGAGTGTACGGTCGTACGCCCCCTCATGTCCATACACTCTCCCTATATAAGGGGTACTTAGCCATTTCTCCAATACTTTTTACACTTCCAAGCCTAGATTTCGGAATTCTCTCTCAACTATCATCACATTTCTCACCAGGATCTTCAAAGATGTAAGTGTTTCCCACCTTGAATTGTTGCTACATTGCTTTATCTAGTGGTGAATCCATGTATTCATATCATTAATTTCATCTTTGGCCAGATCTTCATCTTTCACCAAGAACACGAAGAACACATACTATTTCTTGGTGGCTGTAAACCCTCTTCAAGCTTCCAAATCGTGAGTAACTACTTACTATGATTGTCACCTACTAGAAACACTTGTTTTTCACCCAAAAATCGACCATCTTAGCAAGAACATGAAGGGTGTACGGCCGTAAACCCATGTGTAGGGCCGTACACACCTCAAAGGGGACGTAAACCCTTGTTGGTCAAAGTTGGCCTTAAACTCTTCTTAAAGTTAAGCATGGGACCAAGAACACTTCCATGATGCTAGAAAGGACCTTAAAACACCTCAAATGCACACTTGTTCATGAGTGTACGGTCGTACAATCCTTGGCCGTACACCCATGGGTCGTACACCCTTTAGTCGTATACCCTTTTGGTCGTATACATACTGGCCGTACACTCCATGGTGTGGCCGTGAACCACCCGCATTCAATCACTTATGAATTTAACACATAGTTTCAAGTGTTTCCTAGTCCCTAGGGTGGTTTCCTTTCATAATCAGTTGTGATTTACCCTAATCTGATACATATATGTGTTGTTATATGGTAAATATGATCCGTTTCAGTTTGAGACTTCACTTGAAACTTAGCATCCATGTAACGCCCGATTCTCCGGTATTGCTTAAATAAGATATATTGGCTTAAGCTCTACTCGATGAGTTGGTTGACCCACTCGTCGAGTAGCAGCGGGGTGAGATTGCGTGTTAAGTGACCTACTCGACGAGTCCATGTTGAGACTCGACAATTAGGAGCTAGCAGTGCAAACCTTAAATCTCAGGGTTTGCACCTCTATTTAAAGGAGCCTTAGCCTCCTTTGGCCTCTTTGCAGTATTTGAGAGCCCCTTAACACCCTAATCCGTGTGTGTGTGCCTGGGTGTGGTGTTGAAGCTTGGAAAAGAGAATCTTGGAGGAAGAAAGCTAAGAGTGCAAAGGAAATTAAAGAAAGGAAGGAGTGGGAAGTAGGATTTACCTTAGCTAGCATCCTTTGGAGGTATCAAAGTGTCATCCTTCCCTTTTTCCCTTTCGTTGAGTTTCTAGGGTTTCTTTTATGGATTTTCAAGTTGGTATGATGGGCTATGGGCTAGATCTGAAGTTGTAACTTCAGATCTGGACCCTCCTTGGATTCTAGAAGCATAAAGTCACAGTCTTGGTTGTGATTAAGGTCCCTCTTGAGCATGAAGTTCCATTAAGAACTTAAAATAGGCATTTGGAGCCTTTATAGTCAAGCATGCACGTAAAGTTTGCAACTTTACGTGATAAGCATGCCCTGGAAGCTTGGATCTATGAGTTTGAACCGTTGCATGGCTCAAAACAAGTCTGTGTGGAAAAAGGACTAAATGGACTCGGCGAGTCACATGAAGATGGCCATGAACTCGACGAGTTGGATGAACAACTCGGCGAGTCCGATGAAGATCGCCATCAGACTTGACGAGTTAATGAACAACTTGGCGAGTCAGATAAGTTTTCTTTTGGATATATATGAAGGTGTACCCATCGAGTTGCAAGGAAGGAACTTGACAGATGGCCTTAAAGCTTGATCGAAAATCAAAGGAACTTGACGAGTCACACTGATGACTCGGCAAGTTGGAATGTACTTTAGGGAACTCGACAAGTAGCCGAGGGTACTCGGCGAATTAAGGTCAACATGGACTGTTGACCTTGACTGAGGACTTTGGCTTTGAACAGGGGTTGACTAGTGGGTTGTGGAGTACCTTATAAGGATAAGGACTTATGAGTATAACGTACTATGATGATAGGTTGTGGAGCCTATGTCAAGTGATCCGAGAGTTGGAGTTTACCTGTCGTGTCGACATCTGCAAGGTGAGTTATCCTCACTATATCGATAGGGTCTACGGCACCAAGGCCGACCCTTTAGTTGTTATTGTTATGGTATCCTACATGTGGTTATGATATGTTAGATCGGTATCCAGATAGACAGTATGTTGTTATGCTCTTATGATTCATTAGGATTGACATGTTAGTGACCTGGTTAGGTCGGTGTTTTGGTTATGGGAGATTACTATGATCGATGATCTGTGAGATAGTTATATCTGATATTTCTACATGTACGGCTTGATGTGCTTGTTGATCTGATTAGATCGGCGTCCTAATAATTAGGACAGTATTATGTTAGTGACCTGGTTTAGGTCGGTATCCTGGTATATAGGATAATGCTATGTTAGTGACCGGTTAGGTCGGTATCCTGGTTAGGATGTTGCTATGCCTTATGATATGTTAGATCGAATTGTTTGTCTATGGACTGTTATGTGATTACATGTTATATTTTCACATGGTTATTTGCTTGTGGTGGGGTTGAGGCAGTCCTGGTTTGCGTTGAAGGCCAACATACCCTATGAGCGGACCAG